CGTCAGGGCAGATCCACGGGTCCTGCAATGAAACAGCTCAAGCTGGACGAGTTCTTTCTTCGAGGCGGGGGTGAAAACCAACATACGCGCGTGAGGCAAGGTCCAAATCAAGTAGGTGGTGAATGTTTGTAGCCCAATTGACCAGAATTTCTGACAATAAATACTAGGTGTACCGAGAACGTTCCGTGTTGCAAGCATTTGCGGAGTATGAAGACGTGGCGCAAAATGTATACGTGTGTAGACCTCGTAACAGACCCACGGTAATGTGAAAGATGACACTTTACATTTAACTTAGAGTACTAATTCCTATACGTTTTGATATTTGCCTAGCTGGACATATCATACTGTAAGTGTCAGCCTCGTGCTGACTGGACTTTGACATGTGTTTCAGGTTGTGAAAATCAAGCTGTGCGTGAAATTGGCAATTTCTGACTTGTTTGCCTGGACAAGTACGCGACTAATGAATTTTATAGACACAAACAGAGTGTGTGGAAGGCCACTGCGCATCAAACTACAAATGTGGGAACCAACGAATGCAACGTGGCAGACATGCAGAACTATCGCTGGCGTCCCTACCTGGCAAATACATCTCTTTGATGACGGACATGCCAATCGAGCGTGATACGCTGATAGCTCAGTACGTAGGCGAGGTGATAAGTCGAGCGATGTATCGGGAACGCGAAGAAAAGGTAAGATACCGTTTAGGTGGTTGTAGTTTGTGATTTTACTGAATCTGGTACTATGCTTTGTAGGAAAGTCGGCGCTCCCCCCATACGTATGGTTTAGCTGTGAATACAAATGAGGTGATTGATGCACGCTTCATTGGAGGAATCGCCCGATTTGCGAACCATAGTTGCTCGCCAAATTGTGTTGTGGAGCGCTGGGAGGTCGGTGGTGAGACCTGTTGTGGAATATTTTCCGTCACCGCTATTAACAAGGGAGAAGAAATTACCATCAAGTACGGAAGGGCGTTTGTACGAGATCAGGTAAGCTAAGTGCCTGCTTTTAATGGTCCCTACTCGAAACTCTAACTGTTTTTTTTCTAGAATCAAAAGCAATGCTTTTTGCGGATCTACAAATTGCACAGGATTCATGTGAGTTGACCCAGTTCAGGAAATAACGTTAGTATTGTTTTAGTTAATGTACAGCTGCTGCTTTTGCATTTGATTTTTAACTTCCGCCGTAGCTGCTACATATCGACGTATTTGCTGAGGTAAATTTAGTTGTAGATCGAATTTACACGGGCTTATAATATAATATAACGTGTATGTTACTACGGCTTACGAGCACTTTGAAGGGCAGTTGGAGGTTGGGAGTAAATGTAGTTTTTTTCATTGCTGATATTTTATGTTATTGTTGCTGTAGAGTAGTTTATATATGTACAATAAGGAAGAAAACAAGGAAGAAGATGCGCCCTTGAAAAATGAAATCTTTTTACGACTACAAGATCAATATGGAACCATGGGCGTACCGTGGTACCCTACGCACTTTTCGAGCTGGAGCATCAACGTACATTTACTTCAACGAACACAGGCGAAGTAGCCTGTCCTAATTTCGAGTCGAAAGATTTGACTCCAAGTCATTAAACGATTTGAGTCGCAATGGTTCGTGCTACCAAGAAGACGCGAGCTATGAAAGCGGCCAAGCAAGCCAAAGCAGCACTACGCGTTATACGTCGAATAGCGCCTCGTATAGGGACCACCCAACAACACACACCTAATCAACTCGCCGAAAGACTCAACGAGGTAGAAACTGAGCAAATGAATGCTCGATTAACACGGCACGAAGAAACAAAGCGGGGGAATTTAGACTCTCAAAGTCTCCCCAGAGCAAGCGTCGGAAGCGTAAAGACCGTCTCCTTGATGCTAATGAGGCTGCCAATCATGTGAACGACAACAAAGGTATGCAACAAGACTGGTATAAACTGTTACGGACAGTGACTAACTCTTGTCATTTCACTATTGCAGATTTCTTCGACGCCATTGACGCACCCTTGACTCGAGTGTGCGGAAGTTGCGGAGAGGTTGCGAATGCGTATAATTCAAAGTTAAAACTATTCGACCCCAAATCAATATTCTTTTCACCTCTGTGCAACGCTGAAGGAGAATGTGAAATAGTTCCCGAAGGGCTTGTAGGCGATGCTTCTAATGAATGCGTTCGTGACAGGTTACTAGCTGGTGGCTGTAGCAACAATAAAACAATGAGATGGCTGTGTGATAGATGTAATAGATCGCTGACGACACGAAAAACACCAAAATTTTGCCGGAGTAGTGGCTTTAGGATCGGAACAGTTCCGACTGAACTGGCTGAATTGAATCGAATAGAGTCAAGGCTGGTTGGACTAGGTATTTCCTTCACTACGTGCGTAAATCAATACAGAGATGGCCAAGAATTTACTCGCGGAAATGCAGTCAACTACTGGAACGAGCCGGCTAAAATGGTAAAAGAACTTCCTCGACCACTGAAAGAATGTGGAGTTGTGTGACTTAAATCACAATCGGATAATACAACGAACTATTTTCGTGTGCGGCCAGATTTGGTGAGGCGCGCCTTGTGCTGGCTGATAGCGAATAACCCGCTTTATGAGCACATTCAAATGTCAGAAGATAATCTTAGGGAACTCGATCAAAACATCAACCAGGAAATACCAAGTATACCCATCACGGATGATGATGTTAGCGAATTACGAGGATCGGTAAGCCAACTAAACAGGGAAAAGCAGAATTGTGGGCCTAGTAGCAACGGTGTTGAGGGGCCGAGTGAAGACGACGTTTGTCAAAAACTTAATCCAGATACTCACTGTATGACTGGCCAAACTTGTTCCGGTGTCCGAAATGAGAGTGAATCTGAGGGAAAACAGAGTCATTTAGCTACTACTACTACGAGTTCGAATGGCAGTGAAAATGAAACGGATATTCTTTAAAATGTGACTGAGTCATTTGAATTAGAAGTGAACCAAGACGATCGAACTGAAATGGATCATATTCTTAATTCGATAGGAGCCGATTCTTTAGAAACTAAAATCCCGATTGGAAATATGCACCGTAGAACTCATACTATTGATGAGTACAAAACGAAACAACTAATGCAATGTTGCTTTCCTACTTTATTTCCAGACGGTTTGGGTGGTTATCACCCTCTGGAATTCGAAACTAGACATCACGAGTACAATCTAGCCGAATATTGTGCTCACTTGATGAAGTGGCACGACCGGCGCTATGTTATCCACGGCAATTTTAAATTCTTCTGCATGAATCTAATTCAACGCCGTCAAATTGACGGTTTAGTTCGACGAATTCGCTATTTTGAAACACGTTCCGAGGCAATGAAAAATTAGCCGGTTGTGGAAGAACACAAGGAGAAAGCCGCTCCAGTAACGAAAAGGAAGAACTTAGTGCCGCTATGAACGTTTTGAAATCCTTAAAACCTTACTTTAAAGTTGTGAGAGGTAGTGGACTATACTGGTCGAACGTACGAGAAGACCTAATGTCAATGATAGGAAATCGAGTATTGCCAACGAAATGGCCTACTTTCTTTTTAACACTGAGCGCAGCGGATACGATTTGGCCAGATTTCGCTCGAGCATGCAATCCTGCATTGACACTGGAAGAGTGCAGACAGCTCTCGTTTAATGAACGAAGGAGGTATCTAAATGAGAACCCAGACATTAGTGCCCGTCATTTTAACAGAAGATTTCAAGCATTCTTCGATAACATTTTATGCGGGAGGTCTAAACCTTTAGGCGAAATTGTAGATCACTTCTGGCGTGTAGAATTTCAGCAACGAGGCTCTCCTCACATACATTGCTTGCTGTGGGTGAAAGATGCACCTGACGTTTTAAAACTATCAGAGACGGATGATGGACGGGCCGAACTAGCTGATTTTGTAGATAAACACATATCAGTCCTAGCGAAGACGCTCTCGGAGCTTAGTTCGTGCCCATGCTCTGCTTGTACTGCCAGTGAAAGTGACATTCTGGCCTTAAGACCACCACATTATGGTAACAAAGAGTGGAATTGTGATTTGGCCATACTTGTTCAGCGTGTGCAGCAGCATGAATGCCACGCAGGTTCTACTTGTAGGAAGAAAGGCAACGAATGTCGTTTTGGATTCCCCAAGAGTTTACAACCTAGAACTGTAATTGAGTCGAAAACGAGTTCAGATGGCACACCTTCCTTGAAAATCCACTTACAACGTGAGGTGTCCACTATTAACAATTATTCACCGCATCTCCTTTCGTGTTGGCGTGCTAATATGGACCTGCAACTAATTGGAAACTCCTACGGAGCTGCTGAATACGCAGGAGCGTATGTAAGCAAAGCAGAGCCAGATACACTTCGATTCAGGCGAGTGATTGCAAAAGCTATACAACGGAGTGACTCAAATCTTCCCTATCATTCGATTCTGAAGCGAGTAGCAAATGCGACTCTCGCGGTTCGCGAGGTTGGTGCACCGGAAGCTATATACATTCTCCTTCGCAATCTATCAATGCATAGTAAATCCCGCTCAATCACCAAAGTCAAGGCGATGCGTCACAGTACCCGTTACTATCGCGTTGAGCCGCAAAACCTAGACGACCTTGTTGCCTTAGCAAGTACACCAGAGATCGAGACTATTCGAATTGAGCCTATCGAGAAAGCGTACATGAATCGCCCGGACAATGATCATTTTAACGCTATGACTTTAGCAACATTTGTAGAGACTTTCGAAACGATTGAGTCGATACGTAAAGTAGCATCCTCCGATGATCTGTACGAGTGTATGAACGGTGAAGGGTGGATAAAGAAACGCAAGAAAGCCACGGTTGTGCAAAAGACACCCTGGATACGACCCGATTCGTCGAACCCCACTTTCTGTTTCTCCGAAGTATTTTTGTATGTTCCATGAAGGCAAATTAGTTTGTAAATGCTAACCGCAGCTCTCAATACAACAACTTTGCTAATTTTCACAAAATATAAAATTGGGCAGTTGCTACTGCACGTTTCGCACCTGGCTGTTGTTCAGGTGTGGCGCTTGCTGCGCTTCGCCACTGTTGGATGATTTTCCTCGCTCTTGCTCTCCGATGCCATCACCACATCATTGTCAGTCGGGATGGCACTCATCGCACTCGTGTTGTCTTCCGCTTCGTTAGCCTTGGTTTTTAAGTGTTGTGGTGAGATCTCACAGGCCACCTTGCGTTTTTTCAGTGGTGGATCGACCTCGAAAATCTTGTACTTGTTACCGAGCTCGTACTGAACGCTCCCCTTTGCAATATCAGCATAGAAACCAACGCCATCGGCATGGGAAAATTTGTACACGGCACCAGGTTCAAACTTAATATTGCGCTTGCCATTGACACACTTCGTCGGTTTGGCATCCCACACCGTCACTTGAACCAGATACGGTTTGCGCTTCAGAGGTGTCAAGTCGGCTAGGGCATTTGCTGTCGGCTCGAACACTTCCCGTTGCGCGGCGTCGACCAGCGTAACACGAGTTCCATGGTCACCGCGAAGTCGTTCCGATTGAAGGCAGCACATGCTGAGCGTAACGCTTACATCAGCAGTTGGGTGCGACGCCAAAATGAATTCTCTAAACTCCGCCACAGTTGAGAATTGGTTCAACGTTTCTTCTTCCTTCTGCTTTAGGACGTCGTTCTTGATAGCTTCTAGCAGATTCATAGTTGTATGTGGTGAAATTGTGCGATGGCGTTGCTTCGTCGCTAGCAAAACTAAAAGTGAGCACTGCCGGCACGAATCATCCGTCCCATTCAAGATACCCACGTCCTACTGCCATTGTACGCGGCGGATAAGGTAAAATAATGCTATATTCGAACAAACCAAAAGGGTGACTATAATTAATTTGCAAACAAACTCTTTCATTGTGATATTACACACATTTCCTCCTCGCCAATTCATTTAGTTCTGTAAACCACTCTGGCTTGAAGTCTTCGAGCAACTTCACAAATTCTGACAAATTCTCGTAATTTTTAAAGCATTCCCGCACCAAATATTACTGGAATTTTGGCTCGATCGTTCGAAGCGAAACGTCAACGTATCCAAGAGATGTGATACAACTTCGTTTAGCCATTGCATCTTCAACAAATCTATTAGCTGATTCATTAGCGAACGTATCCGAAGAATGCTATTCAAAACGCCATCACTATCACAACCGCTTCTTCCATTATCTTAGACTTTATTTGTGTAGCCCACTTGCATGACACTGCCCAGTACTTGATGTCCATCGTCATTGCCTAGCACAGATACCATACATACGAGATCACTGCATTATTAATGAATTTGAAGTTGGGGCATTAATTATGAGTCCATATTACATTTTGCGACTCCTTCTAGATCTACCAGCCAAACTTCAACCGACAGCACCGTCGTGCCACACCGCACGCATCCTCACCAACGTTTCTAGATATACAGTCACCTTCACTTAATCCACGTAATGGTTTCCAGCTCCAAACCTGGTACATTGTGTCTATTTGCCAATTTTACACCGTTTACATTTATTTTGACGCCCCTAATCTATCTAGTTTGTTAGTACGATGCCTTCCTACATTGTTATAGTAAAATTGAGTTTAATTCCTACTCATTAGCCTTCAAACCCTGCGCGCATTCTAGTTATTGAACCATCAACGTATCCAAGAGATGCGATACGACTTCATTTAGCCATTGATTCCGCTACTGCAACTTCAACATATCCATTAGCTGATTTACCAACGAACGTATCCCGAAGAAGTCATTAGCCTCCAAATCCTGCACGATTATATAGTTATATTTTTTTTTAATTTTGATCTACTTCATAAATTCCATATCTAGAATTTCATGCTACAACTGTGCTTACTTCCTCCCACACTCATGTCTACAGTAGCTCCAATTAGTATTAATTAAATTCATAGTATTTCGTTGCAACAACTCTGTTATATTATCCTTTAACTGAAAAGAAGAATACCATATAGTAATTGCTGATGCACCAGCAACATGGTCTGATCGTTTCCCCGAGTCTTCATCATTAACGCCATCACGCTGTTGCTGTCGGTCAAGTTGATTCTTGTAGCTGCTGTATGCCCCTCACCAAGACGTGCGCTTTTTGAGAGGAGGCGCAATCTCTCTGATCTTATCCAAGTTGCCATACTCGTACTGAATACTGCCCTTCGCGATGCCATCGTACAATCCCACATACTCGACTTGATTAAGAACGTACATAGCTCCAACGTGAAACACAATGTTTGAATCGCCAGCGAAAGCGTTCGACATCTTTGAATCCCAAACAGTCACCTGCACCACATCGCGTTTGTCTTGATAGCCTATACAATCATCAACTGCCTTCAAGGCTGTGTTGACTTCCACACATCTCCTTCCGTCGACCAAGACTACACGAGTAGCGTTAGTACCTTCAAGACGCTCCACGTGAAGGCAACACATTCTCAGTGTCACGCAGATATCAACTGCAGGGTGTGTCATTGTGATGAATTCACGAAAGTCTCTTACGCTTGAAAACATGTTGACAGCTTCCTCTTTCATTTGTTTCAAAACGGCCCCGCGAATGGAATCCAAGAAATCCATTGTGACTTGATACAGCAAAATCAAAAGTGACAGACGCAAATCCGAAAGTTAAATAAGCCAACTTCAACCCCAGTAAGGAAACTGTTCACAGCAGTATTACTTTTGCATGTCATATTTTATTCATATCGACTAGAGAGCCCAGCAAACGGTGGGTAATTGAGGGAGTACTCTTAAATAGTTGGTAAGTTGTTCCAGGCTCTGCTCGAAGCCCAGAGAGATATTAAAGTGGTGCACCATACTGCGTGAAAAGGCGTAGCGCTTGGCCAGATCCACTTTGTGTAGCGATAGGAGAATAGGCACCAGCAACTTCCCACGGTCCTCTGCGAAAGCCAATTGATCAGCAAGAAGGTCGCAATTTGCAGACAGCGGAGACAACACCACTAAGACGACAGAGCAGGCGAGAATGGCATCTTTTGCAGCCAATTGCCGCGTTTGAACAGGTAAAGAAGCCACTGGTTGCTCAATGCAGCTCAAATCTGCGCCGAAGCCGCCGCTTTGAACATCGCTGTTCACAGTATCTTGCGGCCGATGCGCATATTGTACCGCAGGAACTGTTTGATCCACAACACAGCGTATTCCCTGCTTGAGCAACGATTTCTGGAGGCGTAGACACAATGAGCGGTGGATATCACCATGCGCAATAAAGACGAAAGAGTCTGTACCGGATGTGAACGCGAGAGACGAAGCCAATGAGTCAATCCGTCGTAATGGCCGAATAAGTGGCACGTTCAGTGGCCCTCTGGGAAGCTGATCGCTGCATTCGACGTGTCGATTTCTTCACACTCGCTTTGCTTATCATGATCCGTAGACATTCCCACAAAAAGGGTCCGGGTTTTTTCTTCCCCCGAAAAAAAACTCCTCTCTCGCTTGCGACGGGCTTCCCTGGGGTGTATTTGCTCTCCCGCTAACAGTAGCATCAGTCTCATGACCAGGAAGTTGTGCTTGTTGCTGCTGCTGCAACTGGCGCCGAGCTAGTCGTGCACGATGCTCCTCGATTTGATCTTGAATACCGTCCAGTAGCATCCTTAAGCAGTGGCAAAAGGCCTCGTCATTGTAGTTCGGAACTAACTCGAGGTTGCTTAAGACGCGCTTGCCCACCATATTGACCACCACGTTCGTAGTATCATCTTCACTGTACACTTCCCCCTCATGTGAGTCAGTGTCAACTGTATATGAGCTATTCCTCGCCATCCGCTGCAGATCAGCATCATCTCCTGTAGAACTTACACCGTTATTGTGCTTAACTGCCGATCGAAAGTCAATCACTTGGCGGGTCCACAGGTAAACTTGTAGCTCTTCAGATATCTCCATATCCTCGCATTGTATAGCCACGACAGAAATGTCTGCATTTTGGCAAAAGCGAGTTCTTTCATGCACCATTGTGACTGTGGGTAGTCTTTCGTGAGTACAGCTAATACAAGAGCACTGCTATGGATCCCGCGAGCAATCTCTTGACGCCAGACGGAGCCATCAGTGATCCCAGTAGGTCCCATAGTGTCGATCCAAGTTGTCACTCGGTGGCGCTCTAACGAGTCTCGAATCTTCCGTGCTAACGGTGCGTGAGCATGACTGTAGCTGATCATAAAGTCGCGCTGACCTGCCTCCTTCTTCGCAGCGAAGCGTAGTGCTGGCGAACGTGCGCAGTCGATCGCACGTTGACCGAGCAGATTGACTGCTGTTAAACTTAGGCCAGCACGAACGAAAAGAACCGCTGCAGTTTGATTGCGTCGCCGAAGCGCAACATGGAGAGCAGAACCGCCATTGCTTGTACGTGTAGCGTCCAGATCGACTTCATCTTCCAACAGCAGCTGGAAAATACGGGGGTCAAGTCCACGCGCTAACGATCTCTGGCCGCTCAGCACCGCCTCCATTCTCCCATCCTCGCTTCTCGACCCATGTCCGTGCGAAGGCGATCGTTTTGAGACTCGCGGGCGACCTCCAGAGCAACCTTAGCGGCTTCGATAGCGCAGAGCGAACACGAATCGCTGCTTAGAACCACGCTCCCACGCCTCTATCCTATTTCAGTACAGAAACACAGTGCATTCTGAACGTGTAGCCATGACTTTTTACAGAGTTCTTACGGCTCTGTATCCCTTCCAATATATCAGTTTTGATGCCCTTTATGACTAAATAGGACTGCCCCTCGACGTTAATCGTTACCAGCGTAACGGTTCGCATGGGTACGCGCCGTAAGGCCGTGAGCATAAAACATTCCTAAAACTTAGCGCAATCCTTTGGCGCCTGATACAAAGCGACTCTTCATACAGAGCATAAAAATGACTCCTCTTTTTAGTGACTGTTAATACTACAAAAGAGGTCACTACCGCGCTTTTCTATTTTTCTTCCCCGTCACTCCCTTTCAAGGGTTCTTATACACAAGTATTTTTCGCCAAAAATGGTCCCTAGGCGGTTTGATTATAAATGTCTACCCTAACCCTTTACTAATACTTCGTAAATACTCCTGTAAAAAGAGTAGTTGTCTTACTAATTCGTTTCATTATAGGGGGGCTTTGCCCCAATAATACCATATTATAGGTACATGTACTAGTACGGACCCAGCTGTACACTGGAACAGTACTGTAGTAGTACATGAACAGAAATACATGTATACTGACTAAGGTCAATCGATGCAAT